CAAAATCCTTGGCTGAATTAAAATGGTTTTTGTTTTTTGTTTTTACCCAGACAACTCTAGAAATGCGGACCAAACTAGTTCATTTTCTCAAAGGGCATACCTTGTGCATTGTGGCTTATGATGAGCCATATTAATTGCCTGTTAAATATACACTAGCTTGAACTTAGATGTTAAATGTTATTATTACCAGCATTTGTCCTTTTGTGAAATCAGTATCAGAATACTTGCACTCTTTAACACATTCTTTATAAAATGTATAAATTCTTCAAAACTATTTAAAGAGGAGTGTTATTGCATGCAGATAATCATTTTGAGTTTGCCTCAGTAGATTACTAAAGCAAATTGTTTCAGTTTTCTTAAATGCCCTTTGATGTTTCAAAAAAAAGGAACTGTAATTTGATTGACTGATTTTAAGATCAGCCATAAATAATCAGCAATCTTCAAAAGCACTTTCAATGGATTGGTCATCTGGGTTCTAAAGGGAAGAGTCTGTGCTACTAACCATTTCAAATGCAGACTCAAACCTTCCCAACATCTTTATGACTCTAGAATAATCATATTGATGAAATCGTAATTCATGGTTGAGTTTCAGAACAAAAGATATTCATTGCACATTAACCATTTAGAGGTCATTTAAATAACAAAATATTGTATTGTAAAAGAACTGTACAATTTTAAAACAATAAAGATTTGAACCTGTAAATGTGTGTGCCTTTTAAAGAAGGATACATTTTTAATATATTTGAGTGATTGCTGGGAAGTGTGAAAATATTGTTATGTATCATATCAAAGAGAAACATGTTTATTACAAAAATGTTCTTTAACTATATACTATGTAACAGGGTAAACAGTGTTATGTAGAATAGAATTGTGTAAACTAGATCTTTAGAGAAGTTGCCATTGAGCAAAGTTATTTAAATGAGTTAGTTGAGTTGGATGAGAATTGTTTGAGGTCTGTTGCTAGAGAACAATAATAAAATAATTCTTTTTCAGAAAATATTTAATTTCTTCATAAAAATAAGTTAAATATTTTTTTAAATATGTGTATCTAATAGTACAAAATGGAATAAACATCATAGTGTATAGAAAACTGAATTTGACAAGTTAATGAATAAATGAACAAATGATTTCACATGTTTCTATTTAATCTTTCCATGACATCTTTATGCAAAGACTGTTAAAGCAATAACTTTATATAGAGGGCGATTTTGTGAAGCAGATCTGGTTAGGTCTAAATGAATCTGCCAGCTAGGCCATTTTGACTTAATTGGTACTCTTCAAATTTCATATGTGGTCATTGTACTGTGGAATTTTTGTGACACATGATATCAAATCAAATCATTATTAATATTGCTGTTGAAGATTGAGATTGTTGCCTATAGTTTCCTTATATGCTGTTTTGTGTCTGTGTTGTTATTGTTCACATGTATCTTTATAAAGCACAAAAAAATGAAATAATTTTCTTAGTTAAAAAGTTGAAGAGAAATGAAACTTGGAAATCTAAACTCATCAACTGAGTTATTAGCTTTGGGTAAAGGTGGTGTACCCTCATCTTTGGCATTAGGGTACCTCACTTCCAGTTCTAGATCTAACGTTAACTTTAGGTGAGTTCCATAAACTCTGAACCTCAGTTTTCTCATGTCTAAAATGGGGTAATAATAGGACCTGCCTCAGAGGGATATTTTGCAGATTAAGAATTGTAAGTGTAAAGGGCTTTGAACAATTTCAGGCATATGCTAAGCACTCAACATGTGTTAGCTATTATAAAGATTTCTTTATGTAATACAATCAAACCTGTAAGGTACTATTCAGACTTGCATGGAAATGTAGCTCCTTTTATTACATAAGTGAAGATTTAAATAACATTTTACACATAAACTTTAAGCACACGAATTACATAGATTGATTTATTTTGGCAAAGGTGAGTGGATATACTAAGAATGAGCAAAAATCATATGAACGGTCATTTTTATTGATTTTTTAAAATTGTCAAGATACAAACACATGCACATTCTTTCCAAAAAATAATACACCCCAAGATCCCTGTCCTGTTTCCCAAATTTTGCCACCTAGAGGCAATTACTTTTACTTGTAAAGACATTTGTATATGGAGTACCAAATTATATGGCTATGCTGATATTTTGATAAATCCATGTACATTTTTAATTGACTTTCTCATATAAGATTTAGTTCTTTCATACCTTGCCCACTTCTGTCTTTCCTGTATACTTTATTACGTTCTAGTTTGTGCATTAAGATTTGCATTATGACGACTTAAGACGATTACTTTTTCTTGTACTGCCCACAGATTTTTATTTGAAGATTTTTTATTTTCTTTCTTATTGTGCTGTTACCTTGTAGTTATCATAGCTTCAGTATTTTCAGATGCAGATGCTGCTTCATATTTAGTCTATCAAGCCACTTTTCTCAGACCTCCATTGTGGAACTCTTCTGTTTCAAACATCTGTTTGCTCTTTAAGCTATTTCATATTCTAGGACTTTCCTTAACATTTTTGTTAGGAAGCTGCATTTCATGGACTCTCTTCTCTTTCGTACTAGAGGTTTTGATTAAGTGACTTCCTAGGAAAGAATTCGTGAAATAAATTTTCTGAACCTCTGTAAGTAGGCTCATGATTGATAGTTTAACAGTGTCATTTCTTTGCAGACATTGTCTTCTGTCGTTTGGGGTATTGTGAAATCTAATACCATTCCATCTGTGTTCTTTTATAGATTGTGTTTGATGATAATGTCTTGCAGTTGCCAACCCCCAACCATTCTTAGTACTAGGCAATCAGAGAACCCTTTCAGCCTAGAGATGTATGTCCTGTAGCACTAAGGGAGTTTTTTTGTTTTTGTTTTTGTTTTTGTTTTTTTAGAAAATGTCTTTTTATATTATCTCCTACATTCTATTTAATTAATATTCTAATGTTGTCTGGGAGTTTGCGCAATGTGTCTTTTAAGCCATGTCATTGAATTTTGCGTTGACAACTATGGCTTTAACTTACAAGATTGCTGATCACCTTTTCATGAATCCTATGCATCTGTTTTGTTTTGTTTTTTTAACTCTGAAAATACAAATTAGTGTTTTCTAATTTTCTTCTATTCTCTCTGTTGTCTTCCATGCTCTTTTTTTCTCATTTAGTCTTTATTTCATGTTGGAAGTGTTCCTCAAATGTCTTATGATCCTGGCTTGTCTCCTCATATTCAAGAGTAGGGCATTAAACTGCTGAACTTCTGTATCCAGAAAATAAGGAAGAATTATAGACTTATAATTTTAAACCTTTATGAAATCTTAGAAATCATCTAACTTAGTCCTTTTTGTTTCATTTTTTTATATTGAGATGAAATTCACATAAAGTTAGTAATTTGAAAATGAACAGTATCAATACTTAATTTTTTATGGCTAAATAATATTCCATTATATATATATGTGTGTGTGTGTATATATATATCCCATAATCTGTTTATTCATTCACCTCTTCATAAACATTTAGGTTTTTGGCTTTAGTTACTAGTGCTGCTATGAAAACACATATGTACATGGCTACCTGTTTTCAATTCTTTTGGGTATATCCTAAGAGAATTGTTAGAAAATATGATAATACTATGTTTAACTTTCTGAAGAACAGCCAAATTGTTTCCAACAGTGGCTGAAACATTTTACACTCTTACCAGCAATGTATGAGGGCTCCAAGTTTTTCATATGCTTGCTATCACTTCTTGTTTTTTTTTTTTAAAAAAAAAAGAAAAAATTATGGCCATTTTAGTGAGTGTTACTTGCTTGTGGGTCATTTGTGTGTCTTCATTGGAGAAATATCTATTCAAGCTCTTGGCCTGTTTTTTAGTTTGTCTTGTTTTACTATTGATTTGTAAGAGTTCTTTATATTTTCTGGATACTAAACTCATGATTTAGAAGTATTTTATTAGTGACACAACTTAAGAATCCATTGCCAAATCCAAGGTTATAAAGATTTACTTATATATTTTCTTCTAAGAGTTTTATAGTATTCTCTTTTATATTTAGGTTGTTCCGTTTTGAGTTAATTTTTGTGTATGGTATGAGGTAGAGATCCAACTTCATTCTCTTGCATGTGGCTGGCTATCCAGTAATCTCAGCACCACTTGTAGAGACTATTCTTATAAAGAATGATAGTGTTTTTATTACTGTAGCTTTGTAATAAATTTTGAAATCTGAAAGTATGAGTTCAACTTTTTTTTCCCCAAGATTGTTTTGGCTCTTAGGGGTTCCATCACCTTCAATATGAATTTTAGGGTTGGTATTTTTCCATTTTGGAAAAAAAGTCATTGGTGTTTTGATAGGGATTGCATTCAGTCTGTGGCTCACGTTGGGGGAATGTTGCCATCTTAACAATATTAAGTCTACCATCCATGAACACAAAATATTTCCACTTGTGTCTAATTTTTTTTCACCAAAATTTGTAGTTTTCAGTGTATAGGACTTTTGCCTCTGTTTATTTATTCCTAGGTATTTTGTTCTTTTTGGTGCTGCTGTGAATGAAATGTTTTCTTAATTTCCTTATATTATTCATTGCTTGGGTAAAGAAACATAACTGATTTTTGTGTGTTGATCTTGTACTCTGAAACTTTGCTGAATTTATTAGCTCTACCATTTATGTGTATATGTGTCATGTATTCTTTGGGATTTTCAGATTGTCTACAAATTCGGATGGTTGTACATCTTCCTTTCCAGTTTGGATGCCTTTTATTTCTTTTTCTTGCCTTATTTCTCTGGCTAGAATTTCAATACTGTGTCAAGCAGATATGGTGAAAATATACATCCTTATCTTGTTCCTGATTTTACAGAAAAAGCTTTTAGTCTTTCACCATAACAGTATGATGATAGCTTGGGTTTTTCACATATGATCTTTTAGTTGAAGATGTTTTCTTCTGAGTTTGTTGAGTGTTGTTGTTGTCGTCGTTTTCTATCATGAAAAAAGTGTTGAATTTTGTCAAATGCTTTTCCTGCCTAAATTGAGATGATTATATGGGACTTTTTCTTTATTCTGTTAGTGTAATATGTCAATTGATTTTTGTATGTTGACTCATCCTTGCATTCTGCGAATAGATCTCACTTGGTCATTATATTATCCTTTTGATATGCTGCTGAACTCAATTTGCTAGTATTTTGTACAGGACTTTTGCATCAGGTACTTTAAGTGGAGGGACCAATTCTCTGAGGGTCCTAATCTGCTATTTTCTGTGACATTACTACTGGCCTAACAGGCTCAGAGACTTTAGTGACTTGGCCACTGTTGCAGAATTATAATCTCATCTAGGAGTCAAATTGATCACTTCTGGCTTCTAACAGTGATTTTCCAATTAGGGGGAAATACTTCAGTGTGTACCTTAATTTCTTCTAGTGGTTAAAATAGTTTAATCACTGAATGTCGTTACTTTAATGCATGGGCCCAAGAGAACAAAAAGGGACTAAAGAATACATTTGCTCAAAATTAATACTGCAGCATTTGCCTCAGATGCTCTGAGGTTGACTTATACAATAGATTAGTTATTTCCTGTTTGTTCAAAGTTGGGGGCCTTGAGGCCCTTTTCATTTTTAAATATCTTTATATGTGTTCAGCAAAGTATAGTTTCCTTAAAAACTTTGGGTTTCCTATAAAACTGACTGGAGTTCTCTAAAAGTTAAGTCGTAATTCACACAGACCTCTCTGGAAGGCTAGTGTACTATGGGAAAACAAGATTCCCAGGAGCACCTTTTGTCTACATAAGAAGGTCTGTTAGGTTTATGACTTAAATCTGAAGTCATAGCAAAGGGCATAACAGCCACAGGCTTGATTCTATCCTTACCCTGAAACACTGTCTTTTGAGAATTTTCAACTTGCTGCAGAGACTGGATCCAACCCAGCAGAACAGATTCTCTGTTTCATCTCTGTCTTCCCATGCCTTACTATACAGAGCCAAAATAAGCCAATTGATGCTTTGAACATTTCCTGGAAACCACCTTAGCCAGAATCACAACTTCAGAGTTTTGCCAGTTGTTTGCCACCACAAGACACAAGTTCCTGTCTTTCCAGCTTTCAGTAGCGGTTTCTTTACTTTTCCAGCCTCTGTTAGTACAATTTTGTTCACTATTACAGCCTTTGTGAGGCAGTGTCATGTGTTCTAAGTTTTTGTTAGGGCAGCAGTTTCACTGTTGGTGCTAATTTCTGTATCAGGTGTATGTTGTGTAACTGTTCATTCCTACACTTGCTGGCTTAAAATAACCATTTGCACATGTGACTGCAATCATGTCTGGAACGGATGCCTTGGTTCCTTCTGAGCCTCTATCAAAATGCCTGGGGTTTCTTAAACAGTGGAAGCAAAAGAAGCTTGGAAGTCATGTCACTTGGTCAAAGTAAGTCACAGAGCCAACCCAGAGTCAAAGTATAAGAGTAGCTGCAAGGAAATTGTGATCTTTTTAAAATCACGTTTCTTTTTAAGTTAGGTCTAAAATAGCTATTGCCCTTTAAGATGTAGATAAAAATTTATACGTATACTTGGAGTTTGTTTGTTTGTTTGTTTTTAGCATATGATTTAATGATGCCTAAAGGCAACCAAATTTGGTAATGTTTACTTTAAAATCTAATTTTCATAGATTTATCAGTTTTACTTAGTAAAAACTGGAAAGCTGTGAAAACATTAATATGTAGACTAATTGATAGCTCTTATGTTAGTCATACTCTTAGTACATAAGCTGTCTTTGGCCATTTTTTAAAAATGCTTTGTGTAGTTTATCATCTTTATGGGTAAGATGGAAGTTATTTCAAACAATTCTTAACATAGTGGTAATGAGACTGAACAGTCAGCTGTTAGCTATTTGGGTTTACATATTTCTTAGGTGTCTCAGACTTGGAAACCAGTTAGAGCTCCACCTGTTTGTTTCATTACCACCTTAAAATGAAGCTTAATAGCAATACCAATTCTAATGTTAGTAGAAACAAGTAGCAAGCCTCAAGATAACAAAATGCAAGATTAGTCCTCCATGTACTCTTCTAATCAAAGCAGTAATATAACGTAGATGTCCTGTAAGAATGCACATAGGACTGCCTCTTTACCCAGTGTCTATGTCCCATTGAAATACTGTGCCAGTGAACCATTTTAACGATGTCACCCTTTGGCCTTCTAGAGACAGGAATCCCTCTAACTGTACGAAACCATCACTAAAGTTTTAAATGTTGACAATTTTAAGAATTTGCAACACTAGGCTCTCAAGAGCTATTTTTACAACTGTTACGTTTTGCTTTGGAATGAACTCTCCAGTTTTGTGGGACATAATAGCAAAGATGCTTTTGACAATCTAGTTCCAAGTCAGTGGTGTAATATCCTTTTCTTAGACTGCTCTGGAAATACCATCAATTAATTCCTCTAATAGTTGTAGTATTAGTGAGGAGTTAATATAGGTGTCATTTATAATCTCTCTGGAATTCTATCAGTGGGGTCCTTAACCAGCCCAGGCTTCTAACATGAATTGCCTAGTTTCTTAAAGAATGAGTTCTTAAACTTCTCCAAAAGTATGAAGCTTATCTTCACAAGCATACACTATAACTGCATTCTTTCAGCAATTTCTGGCCTAGTCATTTCTTAAAAGTTTATCTCTAAATTCTACCTGATTGAGAAGTTACGACTCCTGGAGTTGTCAACATGTCACCTTTAAAGTAGGCTCTCCATAGTACAGTAAAAATCTGTGCCTTTTCCTTTCTGTTTTCATGCCACCATATGCTTAGATCTTTTCTAAAAGTAACGCATTTTTTTATTAATATTCCCCCAGTTTAGCGTATAGCCATCAAAGAATACAGGGAAGCATGAGTGAGCGACTTACTCTTTAAACACTGACAATGGCCGTCTCACACTGGAAATCTTACCAGAGGGCTCTTCCTTTTAACAATTAGCACTAAAGGCAATTGTACATATTTAAAATATTTTGAAGTGCCTTACAAATAATAGTATTTTATTAAATAACTTCATAAGTAAGAGCATCTAAAAATGCTACTCCATAAGATAATTCTCTCACCTCTCTGGTCCTGATACTCCCATGTGAAGCGGGAGTATGACAGAGGTCACTGCCTAACTCTGAAACCTGTTATTTCCCAGATGACCTCCACATTAACTAGCGATGACCATGAACAATTGTGCACTCCTAAGACATCAGAGAGGCTTTTCAAACAATCGAATGTTAATTTTATTAAACAACCATTTACTGTTACAGAGTATTCTCATTTGAGGTAGTTGAAATCTCACATCATGAACTAGCAACAATCCCTAGTTCAGAGGATCGGGTGGTGAGTAGAGGCTTGTGAATATAACTGGAATGTCGAGATGTTTCTCCACATTTAGAGCACATGTGTGTGCATGTATTGTCATCTCTTTGCTTGAAAGATAGAAATCTCTTTCCTTTTATGTGTGTTTTCATCAAACTTTTGAAATTGAAAAATTTTATAATTTACTACTAGTTTTTCCATGTTGTATACATGCAGGGCATGTCATGCGGGGTATGATACTGGTATAAATCAAAAAGATGTAGTTGCCAAGAAAAATATGCTAATAAATGGATTCTTTCTTTTTGTTGGAAAGCAGAATTACCAAAACGTTGACTGGAAAGCTGAAAATGGGAGCAAGAGTTAGTAGTCGGGTGCCCTAATGGCCCAGCTGTGGTAGCCTAATGTGGGTGGACGTGCCTTCTCAGTGTAGCTCACACGTCTTCCTTCCCCCAGCACCCTTCTCTAGGTCACTTTCTCATCCCTGTTGGGTTCATGCTGTCTTTTTCAATTTTTCAGGTGTTAGCTTTTTTGAGACTGTAATTATAGTCTAGTTACACCTCTGAGACTACAGCCGAGTCCACATTATCTTGGTTGGACTGCCCATTGTTTTAAAATCCTAGCCACACATCCACAGACTCAGACTGATTCTTTAGGTAATTATTGATATTTTAAAAAAACTTGTCTAATGTTATTCAGGCCGTAGGGGGTGCCTGATTCTGTTTGTGTGTTCGCTTTAGCATTTGTCTATTAAACCATCCTGGAATTGGAAATAGCCCAAATTGTTAACATAAATGTGGAAAATTCCAACTTTTGACATACTGAAATACCTGTTCAATGCATCACCACAATATTATTTCTAATTATTTTAATTCAGGGCACATCACTAGAAGTTTATGATTAGAATGAGGTTCAGAAAAATCTTCATTAAATAACGCCTGACATCAAAATGATCTTTGAACTCACATTAACAGAGAAATTATTTTGATTAGAAGGGCCAAAGCAAAATGCCTACAATTGCAAAATGGAAAGTGACTAGAATATCAATTCATTGAAGTTATTTTGTATGATATTTTCTCGCAAGCCGTTTTAAAATATTTTTTTCTTTTTTGGCATGGGGTCTCACTGTGTCGCCCAGGCTGGAGTGTACTGGGCACAATCACTGCAGCTTCAACCTCCCAGGCCCAAGCAATTCTCCCACCTTAGCCACCCGAGTAGCTGTAACTACAGGTGTTTGCCACTACGCCCAACTAATTTACTTTTTATACTACAGACAGGGTCTTGCTATGTTACCCAGGTTGGACTTGAACTCCCGGACTAAAGCAATTCTCCCACCTCCGCCTGCCAAAGTGCTGGGATTACAGGCGTGAGCCACTGTGTCTACCTTTCTCACAAGCTCTTTTCAAACCTTTTCAAGAGATCATATATTCAAGATTAATAGTAAGTTGGATGTTACTGGTGGTTGCCTTGACTCCTTCCTGGAGCAAGTACATTAATGTAAGAAGAGACAGTCGAACATACCTTGAAAGGATATGGTTCATCACACAAATAGTGTGCTGACTATTTTCTGCAGTGGGCCTCTTGTAATATTAAATGCACTACTACAGAAACGAGTCCACATTTTCAGAGTTAATACCCAAGAGCTAGAATTTATTTGCAAGGCCGACCTTTGTCATTTTACCTGGATCTAGTCCTTGTACTTGAAAGAAATACAACCTCCGCTCTAAGGAAAAATCTGAACCTAATCAAACAAAGTGAATCCATTACACTTAACCAATAGACCATAACAATGCTGAAGCCTAATGCTTAGAAAAGTCACTCTGAGTGCACTGAGGGCAAGGCGAAACTGCCTGTGTCTACAGCTTGCAGTTTACTTTCTGCTCATTAGAATGTCAGTACTGCACCTCGCCCAAGCTTATCAGTAGGTCCACAGCATCAGTGTCTATAGTTGAACCTCGAAAATGCTTGAGTCGAACATAGACCTCATTATTTGGTAAATATTTTAAGCTTAGACATCTCTAGAACCACTTTCCTCCAGAAAATTCCAGTGTTTTATGCAGCTCCTGCTGCCTAGAATTGTAGATATGATACAATGTCACATTCTGACAAGATGCAGAACACTTTTGGTTTATAGACCTGGGTTGAAACCCTGATTATAAAGGAAATTACTCGTTAGCCTATGCAACTTTTTTTTTTTTAGCTTTAATTTCCCTATCTATAAGATAATCCTCACAACTTACTGTGGTGTCCACAATGAGAAGAAGTAAAAGTATTTTTGCATATTGAAAGTGCTGTAGAAATATTTACATATTCCTAGAAAGATTTCAGAAAGCTTCCACATACTTTCAAAACACTGATTAGAAGTTGCAGGGTGTCTTTCTAGGCTTCATTGTTATTATCTTTCTTTACAAAAAAAGGCGTGTAAGCTCTCCACCCTACCTCACCCCATCACCAAATCCCATAAAAAGTTGCTCAGATGTGGGAGAAGACACCTATGTATTTAAGAAGGCACTAAAATGCATTTCTACTCTCTTCCCTGTTTTCCTTTGGGATAAAGATTGTATTTATCTTTTAAAAATGAAAAGTGGGCCAAATGTGGTGGCTCATGCTTGTAGTCCCAGCACTTTGGGAGACTGAGGGAGGATTGCTTGAGCCCAGGAGTGTGAGACCAGCCTGGGCAAAATAAACACCGTGTCTACAAAAAGCAAAAAATTAGCCAGGCATAGTGGCATGCGCCTGTGGTCCCAAGCTACTCAGTAGGCTGAGGTGGGAGGATCACTTGAGGTGGGAAAATTGCTCAAGCCAAGGAGGTCGAGACTGCAGTGAGTCATGAGTGATCACACCACTGCACTCCATCCTTGGCTACAGAAAGAGACTGTGTCTCAAAACAAAAACAACAAAAAAAAGCTTTTACAAATAAAATATTTAACTTTTCATCCTAAAATTAATGTTGGTTTAGGCTGGGCGTGGTGGCTCATGCCCATAATCCCAGCACTTTGGCAGGCCGAGGCGGGCAGATCACCCGAAGTCAGGAGTTCAAGACCGGCCTGACCAATGTGGTGAAACCCCATCTCTACTAAAAATACAAAAATTAGCCGGATACGGTGGTGCATGTCTGTAATCCCAGCTACTTGGGAGGCCGAGGCAGGAGAATTGCTTGGACCAGGAAGGTAGAGGCTGCAGTGAACTGAGATCGTGCACTCCAGCCTGGCACTCCAGCCTGGGTGACAGAGCAAGACTCCATCTCAAAAAAGTGAAATTAAATTAATGATGGCTTAGCAACATCTAAAGATTATTTAGTATACACATTTTGTGTTTGAAAATAATTTTAACAAATATATTTTCAAATACTTTAATCTTTATTTTAATTTAAATCATTCATGCCAAGCACAGTGGCTCACATCTGTAATCCCAGCACTTTGGGAGGTGGAGGCAGGCAGATCACTTGAAGTCAGGAGTTCAAGACCAGCCTGGCCAACATGGTGAAACCCCGTCTCTACTAAAAATAGAAAAATTTATTCCGGGCATGGTCATGGACACCCGTAATCCCAGCTACTCGGGAGGCTGAGGCAGGAAAATGCTTGTACCCAGGAGGCAGAGGCTGCAGTGAGCTAAGATTGCGCCACTGCACTCCAACCTGGATGACAGAGTGACTCCCATCTCAAAAATAATTTAAAAAATAATTTAAATCATTCACTGGGAGCAATCTTTTTTATTTTCACAGTTCAATTTTGCTTTTTTCTAAAACTAGTTAAGGAAAGCATGATATATATGAAATATAGAGGTTTTTCTCCCCCATAGGAATTAAATATTTTAGAGAACTAACCTTAAAGCACACGTTTATTTTTTTCTTTCCAAATGAGACAAGTTCTTTAAACTGTGAGGATTACTTATTAAAATTTAAATGAGCCCTTTTTGGATTGTTACGGAAATGCCTCATAAACCTCATAACCATTTCTTTTCTTTTTTTTTTTTTTTTGTTTTGAGATAGAGTTTTGCTCTTGTTGCCCAGGCTAGAGTGCAATGGTGCGATCTCAGCTCACTACAACCTCTGCTTCCAGGGTTCAAGTGATTCTCCTGCCTCAGCCTCCCCAATAGCTGGAATTACAGGCGTGCACCATCGCACCCGCTAATTTTGTATTTTTAGTAGAGATGGAGTTTCTCCATGTTGGTCAGGCTGGTGTCCAACTCCCAACCTCAGGTGATCTGCCTGCCTAGGCCTCCCAAAGTGCTGGGATTACAGGCGTGAGCCACCACGCCCAGCAACATTTCTTAAGGTAGTTTACATGCTTCAAAAATAATTGAACTGAGAAAGTGATTAGCTTTGTCACTTCTTCCACATCTATCTCCTTTAGCTGTATTTGGCTTATCTTAAAAACTAAGATCTTCACAGAAAGATCTCAGGCAAAACTGAGGTTCCTTTTTGGTCTTTACTTTGCATATGTCGTGAATGCAACAAACCGTAGACTTTCCACAGTGATAATTAGCCCAAATTGGCTTCTAATGAACAATGCCCAGTTACTCTAAGTTTATCTTAACAGAACCTTCTTTGTCTAAACTATTGAATAGCTGTCATTTACTCAGCTGCTATCTATCAGTGTTTGTTAGGTGGAACTTAGAAGGGCTCATCTAACATTTCAAGGAAGCAAGAGTGAATCTAGGAAAAAAAGAAATCCATAATTTTACAATTAAAGCTGCACTTACTGCTTAATGTATTTGTCCTTATAGGAGCCAGGTGTATTCTGAGATAGACATTAGAACTTTTCAGAAGACATTAAGAGTTCAGTGACCAAGTACTTGTAGAGAACTGAATTAGGTATATTAGTTACACCAGACGCATCAGGGAAACTGATTAATAATTAAATCGCGAGAGTTCTTTTTTTTTTTTTCTTTTTTCTTTTTTCTAGAAACAGAGTCTCGCTCTGTCACCCAGGCTGGAGTGCAGTGGCACAATCTTGGCTCACTGCAACCTCCCCCTCCTGGGTTCAAGCAATTCTCCTGCCTCAGTCTGCCAGGACAAGGTTTCACTATGTTAGCCAGGATGGTCTCGATCTCCTGACCTCGTGATCTACCCACCTTAGCCTCCCAAAATGCTGGGATTACAGGCGTGAGCCACCAGGCCTGGCCAGGAGAGTTCTTTTTAGTTGTCAGTTTATAAAGAATATATAGAATCAGTTCATAAAAGTATCACAGCCAAAGTGTATATAAATATTTCTTCTTGTAGCTCATGTTTTCATTCACAAGCAGGAGCCAAAAATGTACTCTCCTAATTAAAAGATAATTTTAAGTAGTGTAATTGCAAACAGAGATTGTATAACTATAATTGAATGTTAACATTAAAGTGATGTAATATTTTTCTTTACACATTAAAAAATAGGAAAAGTTAAAGTTCTAGATTATAGCACTATCTGATATTTCTCTCAGATCTCAAAACATTCGTAGGATATTTCCAGATGTTCGTATATACTGTCATGAATATAGAAAATGAATATGAATTGTGAAAATGCAAAATAAAGTCTCCTTAGTACTTGTATGATTTCGCTTCCCTTTCTGCGTATTGGATTAAGCAACATATTAAATTTTGTGTTATTAAACTGTATGAGAAAAAGACAACAGAATTTATGGAAAAAAAATTCTAGGGTTGCCACTGTCAGTGCATGTTCTGGAGCTCACTGCTATCTTTTTCCTTATAAAGAGATGGAAAGTAAGTCAGGGAAAAGAATCAAAAGAACTCTATCAAGACAAAACAATTCATGTCGCAATCTAAAAATAGCATTTTGGGAAATTACTATCCAGTATTTCAAATCCAGTCCTCATTTGTGCTCACAAAGTAAAGTGGAAAACGGAGTACAGAAATAGACCCACATATAGTATATATGGTCTCCTGATTTATTACCAAGGCACCACTGAATTCAGTAAGAAAAGGAAAGTGTTCTTTTTTTTTTTTTTTTTTTTTGAGACGGAGTCTCGCTCTGTCGCCCAGGCTGGAGTGCTGTGGCCGGATCTCAGCTCACTGCAAGCTCCGCCTCCCGGGTTCACGCCATTCTCCTGCCTCAGCCTCCAGAGTAGCTGGGACTACAGGCGCCCGCCACCTCGCCCGGCTAGTTTTTTGGTATTTTTTAGTAGAGACGGGGTTTCACCGTGTTAGCCAGGATGGTCTCGATCTCCTGACCTTGTGATCCGCCCGTCTCGGCCTCCCAAAGTGCTGGGATTACAGGCTTGAGCCACCGCGCCCGGCAGGAAAGTGTTCTTGATAAAAGGTGCTGGGTGAAAAATAAATGAACCTTCTCCTTGACTGCATGCTATCCACAAAGTTTATTTAAGACACATAAAAGTTTATTTGGAATGGATCACAGAACTAAATGGGAAAGATACAACAATAAAACTTTTGTAAGAAAACATAGACAAATATCTTCTTTTCCCTGTGAAGAAAAAAATTCTTAAACAGGATAATTTTAAAAATATGAAAGAAAATATTGATACATTGGACTAGATGAAAACTGAGAACTTCTGTTCATCAGAAGACCCCATTAAGAGAGTGAAAAGGCAAGTCCTAGACTCAAGATGTATACTAAGAAAAAGACAATTAGGCAAATTTTAGAAATGGGCAAAACTGGGTGTTGAATGGATTCTTCATAAAAGAGGATAACCAAATGATCAGTTTTAATGACTATTTTTAATAAGTGCTCAACATCATCAGTCATCAGGAAAATGCAAATAAAAACCACAATGTGGTACCACTTCACACCCACTAGAATGCTTAAAATTCAAAAGACTAACAATAACAACTACAACTGTTGGCAAAGATGGGAGGCAGTTGGAATTCTCATACACTACAGGTGGGAAGTAATTTGAAAAATGTGACAGTATATTTCACAACTAAATGTAGTCCTGCACTCTGACATGGCAATCTCACTGTTAAATATTTACCCCAGAGTAATGACTGCATATGTTCACCAAAAGCCATGTAAAATAATGTTTGTAGATAAAACCTGGAAACAACCCAAATGCTTTGCAATAAAAGAATGCATAAATCTATTGTGGTATACTCACACAGCAGAGTATTATGTAGCAGTTTAAAAGAATGAATTATTGCTGGGTGTGGTAGTGCATGCCTGTAGTCCCAGCTACTCCGGAGACTCAGGTGGGAAGATCCCTTAGGAGCAAGAGTATGAGGCCAATCTGGGCAACATAGCAACCCTGTCTTTAAGTGAATGAATTGTTGGTACACATGACATGAAGTAATTTCACAGACATAATAATGAGTTAAAGGCAACAGATACAAATGATTACATATTGAATTACTTCATTTATATGAAGTTCAAGTATAGACAAATGAACTATGATGACAGAAGTCCATGTTTTAGGAAGGGGCATGAGAAGGATTTCTTAGATGCCAAATATAATCTACATTTTCATCTGAGTAAGTAGGGTTAAATGTGCATATTCACAGACTTCATATGTGTGTTCCACCTCATTCCTTTTTTAAAAAGAATTATAATGGTTGATTTATATATTCTCACATATATGTGGGTCTCAGTACATACATATATATGCATATATATAATATATATGTATATGTATGTATATGCTTTATTTTCCCATAAGTGTCTATGGCTTCATTTATTTCTATCCATTCCATGCTTTCCCCTAAATGAAGTCTTAGCAAGCTCCTAAGTCCCTTTTGTTTCTGTTGACACTGTTCAGAGTAGCATTGTTCAGAGTTTTAGCTCCAAATTATCTTAACCACCTATTTCTTTCCTAGAATTTCAAAAATTGAGTTGAGTCAGTGACAGCGCAAGAGCACCATCATCTTGGACAAACACTGTCACTTTAAGTTCCAGCTCCCTTTCTAGCCTCATGTATTTTAAGGAAATCACTTCTCTTCTAACTACAAGTAGCCAGAAAGAGCAGACAGTAAAACACAGGTAAGACAACCTGGGCACAGAGGGAGGTGAGGGGAAAGTCTTTTGGGTAACTGCCAAACTTCACCATCATACAATGGGCCCCGGTAAAACAGTGGGCCTTAATAAGCACATTCCTTTCACTTCAGGTGCACTGAAATAGGGAAGCTAAAAGCAGACTCAGGGGGTATGCCTGCAGCTGCAGAAAGATGAATGGGAACAGACACAACTCTCCCTCCCAGATAAGCACCACAAAGAGACACAGAAACAGTCCAAACATCTGATAAACTCTCCCACCCTGAATGTACCTCTGACCTAACTCTGCCAGACACCCCCCTCAGGTTTGTTTTCTCTAAAATAAACCTGTCTTGACTGGCAAGCCATCTTTTGTGTTTGTTTCCTCTTTCTTTAATTCTTATAGTCAGGACCTAGATTAACCATCTTTCTCAACCTGGAAATAAAATCTCTCTCTCTCCCTCTCTCTGTTTTATTTATAAGGACATTGAAGTGTAGAGAGGTTAATGAACTAGCCCAGGGTCAGGACCATGAACTTTATTCATTATTCAGGAATTCAACTATTACAGACAAATGGAAATGACCTCATCTCAAACTCCTACTCCTCACTTCCCATTTTCTACAACAGGCAGTATTATTCTCCCTTTAACTCAGATGTAAAATCTATTTTATTCATAACAGATTTACTTTTAAGTATCTACTATGAAAGGAAAGGGATATAGAGTTGAGAGGCTGGGGTCCCAATCCTCTACCCCAGTTGATTCTGACTCTTCTCATTCCAAAGTGGCCACTACCTTCCTTTTAGTTTCCCAATATCAAACATGTTAAGCATCAAATTGGACCACTACTTTAAGGTATTTGCTAAACCTGAAGCTGCCTTAGAATTTTTTTTTTTTTTTTTTTTTTTTTACTTATTGTCTGACTTTACATGTGTTTGTCTTGAATTCAGCATCCTGTTTTTTTGCCTGTCGCATTAGGCTATGAGTCCAGGAAGGCAGGAACAGCAGCTGGCAAAGGTACCCAAAACAAGTGTATTTTATTTTGGAAACGTTCTTTGTGTCTAGCCTAAATCTATCCTGATGCAGTTTCAGATAACAGAATCCTTTGTCTTTGTCTACTCACAGGATAAATATGGTAAAAAAAAAAGGGGGGGGGGAGGAATTCAAAGAAAGGAAACGGGGAAAATATGACACTTTACAAGGGTGACATTTAAAAAATATGTACATTGCTGCAATCATTAACAGCACCCCAAGAAAAGACTCAGTGCTCAAAACAAATGATCCACCCTTTTAAAAAATTAAATGATATAGCTTATAGCCTAGGAGGTATTTGCATGAAAAAGAGAAAGGCAGTTTTATCTTTGTTGATGGTGAAAGGATGATAACCAGATGATTTATTTCGAGTTTTTTTTTTTTTTTTTTTTTTTTTGAGACGGAGTCTCACTCTGTCGCCCAAGCTGGAGTGCAGTGGCGCGATCCTGGCTCACTGCAAGCTCCGCCTCCTGGGTTCACGCCATTCTCCTGCCTCAGCCTCCCGAGTAGCTGGAACTACAGGCGCCCGCCACCGCGCCCGGCTCATTTTTTGTATTTTTTTAGTAGAGACGGGGTTTCACCATGGTCTCGATCTCCTGACCTTGTGATCCACCCGCCTCGGCCTCCCAAAGTGCTGGGATTACAGGCGTGAGCCACCGCGCCCGGCCTATTTCGAGTTTTTAAAGCCAGCTCCTGTCCGTCTGCCTGGTAGAACCCCTGAAGCACTATTCAGTGCACCCACCATCAGGGCATTCACTTCCTCCCATGACAACAGGTCCTCAGCTGTCTCTGCTTAGGGGCTGAAACAATCATTTTAGACTGCAAGACCATTAAAAGAGGGAGGAAACTGAGTCCACTGAATCCTTTTCATAAAGCATCAGAGGAATGAGACCAACTTAGCCAAATCAGCACACCTTATAAAATTAGTCAAGGGAGACAACTGCATTGCTTCTAAAAAAAAAAAAAAAAAAAAAAAAAAAAAATCAACTTAGCTCCTCATCTCATCAATACCCCAAAATAATATCCAGATGAACTGAAGCTACGAATTGCAGACAACACTAAAGAACAAGAATCCTAGGATTAAATACTGTAAATTAAAAACAGGTGGATATTTCCACACACAAATGAACAATTCTCTTTAGTACATATAATAATGAAAATGAAATGCCCAACATTGCACAAAGAAATATTATTTCTACAAATATGAGAAAGGCTTACTATTTTATACAATTAAAAATAAATACAAATGAACAAGAAAATCACTACAATCAATAGATAAATAGGTCAAATTATCTCAAAAGATGTCACAAAATTTTGAGTTGGAATCTGTTTTCTTTAACTTTTGAAGAGAATGTAACAAAAGAGAAAGCAGAAACCCAAAATTGTGTTGCTCAATGGTCTAAATCACAGACTACTCTAAAAGTTACCTTAACAGTTTAATCTCACCTACTTCTGAATGGCTTTTGTCTTCTGGGAAAATTTCAATTTTTTTTTTTTTTTTTTTTTTTGAGACAGGGTCTTGCTTGGTTGCCCAGACTGGAGTGCAGTGGTATGATCTTGGCTCACTGCAACCTCTCCCTCCAGGATTCAAGTGATTATCATGCCTCAACCTCCCAAGTAGCTGGGATTACAGGGACCCACCACCACACATGGCTAATTTTTGTATTTTTAGTAGAGACAAGGTTTTGTCATGTTGGACAGGCCAGTCTCGAACTCCTGACCTCAAATGATCCACCAGACTCGGCCTCCCAAAGTGCTGGGATTGATGCAGGATTTCTGACAACTTAGTTCAGCTAAAATCTTAGTTCTTATCCCATGAGCAGGAAGAATTAGGCACAAAGACACGTTGAAAGGTGAGGAGGGTGGAATTTATCAAGCAAAAGGAAACGTCTCAACAAAAAGAGGGGTCCTGCATGCAGCTTTTCCACCTTACAAATTGAATAGTAGGCCACCACACAGAAGCTGAAGAGGCCAGGCTCCTCCCCAGCATAAGGCGTGAATTCCTGGTGGCTCCACCCCATTCTTCCAGTGCACAGGCGAGCCCTTAGTCTGAGCCACTCCATATCAATTTATTTCCCTTACTGTGCATCTGTTAAAGGGTGGAATTTTTCACCGTGGGCATGTTTAGGCAAGCCCCCTGTGCACAATGACCTAGGCAGCATTTGGCTGTCTCCTGCCTCTATTATTCCCCCATCTAAAGAAGTACATTTAACTGCCCTTAGAATAAGGATAAAGATGATGACTGATCTTAACTGCTTCCTGCAGACAGGGGGCGCTGTTTTGGGAAATGGGCAATCAGGTCTTCCTCAGAGGCCTATCTAAGGGTCCCTGGTAAAAGGGGGTCATCAATTGAGGCTCTGGTTGCATGACTCTTTGGAGTTTGATGGCCTGAAGACAAGATGAGACAAACAGGGTTATTAGAAGACATGTATTAAAATGAAACAAAACGGGTGTTAAGGACAGCTCAAAAATCCCAAGGCTGCCAGCGTGCCCAGATAACTGGTGACAATCTGCCTGCTAAGATTTGTGTGCATGGAGCTTGGCTTTGGTAGCTCCTTTGGTCTTATTTTCCCAACAAAGAAACCTCTGGATAATGGGTACTCTATTTACTCTCATCACCTGGCAGGATTTGCAGGATAATTGCCCAGAACTAGAATACTGATACAGATTTTTACATTACCTATCCCTTTTTACTTCTTCTGAGCTGCAGTCAGACATTGCTGGTTGGTTCACAGGAATAAGCAGGGTTAGTCTAAAATGTAGGCAAAATAGCTTAAAAACACCTAATGTGTCTAGAATTTAATGACAATGTATGATAAGTTTTGAAGCATAATTTATCTCCAGTCCTCATTTTTGTTAAAAAAAAATTATGATAGGACTGAGTTGTTTGCAAAATAAACATTAGTCTTATATTTGGCCTGATTATTTGCATAACGTGCAGCAAGAATAATTATTTTTACATAGGCTTTTAAAATTGGCTTTGATGGAACTCTGTTCCACAAGGAATCTCAGATAGCACCTTTTAAAGCCAAGCCCAGCGATGGGTTTGTATCCTCAAGTACCTATAAGTTGGGTGAATTCCTCTCTTCTTGAGATCCCAAGAAAATGGGGTTCCTGGGCCTGTTAGGAAGTGACATTCTTTATTCACCACAGGTTACAAACCCTGTACTAGGACTGTGTAGAGAAGGTATGATGCCAGTTTTCCCAAGGGGCTTTTATTGGCTCTGCAGGTTGAGCTTGACTCCTTAAAGATAAGCATACCCTTCTAGTCAAAGCCTTAGTAAAACAACCAGTTTCTCCAATTGCATCCTGTGGCAAAAGAAAATGGGTTCTTATATGGTTATTAGCATCAGTGCAAATAACCATATTGCCATAAGTTAACAATATTCACAACTGGTTTCGAAATTCTGGAGAAACCAGGCAGAGAGAAACAAATATGCTCCAAACATTTTTCACAGGAGTATACCTTACTCAATTATTAAGGGCCATAAATAGCTCAAAATAAGTTTTCTTGACTCTGAAAAACAAAACAAGGATCAACAATGTTTTAAACAAAAATTAAAAAAAAATTACTTCATTTTCTATTAGTTCAGTCCATTCAGTTATTCTCCTTGATATTCATAAAAATTTCAGCTCTTCAGGCCGGGCGCGGTGGCTCAAGCCTGTAATCCCAGCACTTTGGGAGGCCGAGACGGGCGGATCATGAGGTCAGGAGATCGAGACCATCCTGGCTAACTCAGTGAAACTCCGTCTCTACTAAAAAATATAAAAAAAAAAAACTAGCCGGGCAAGGTGGCGGGCGCCTGTAGTCCCAGCTACTCGGGAGGCTGAGGCAGGAGAATGGCGTGAACCCGGGAGGCAGAGCTTGCAGTGAGCTGAGATCCGGCCACTGCACTCCAGCCTGGGCGACAGAGCGAGACTCCATCTCAAAAAAAAAAAAAAAAAAAATTTCAGCTCTTCATAGTTCCTGTATGTTTTTTCTTTATTCTAATGTCACAATCTCCAATGTTATCAGAAACCTGCATTTAAGAACACCTGTCAAAGTTCTAGAGCTGATTATAAACCATCTTTTGAAGAAGATCAAAACAAGACAACAATTGTCTGTGAATAACAAAATGTCCAGGGTAGTTACAGTCAAAAACACGACTGACAAAGAAATTTGGTTATCTCTGTAGTTTATAATCACTTAATGTAACAACCTTAATTGTGACTGATAGCATATACTCAGACATTTGAATCTTTAGAGATCCCATACAGATTTGGAGCATATATTAATATTATTCACTAAAATATAACCAGAAGAAGATTAAACATCATTTTGGCAATCCCATCTACCTAAACGTATGAGGTAATCCTGTTTACCTCTCTTCTGGGTACTCCGGGACCTTCTGTAGCATCCAAAGTCTAGGTGTCAGGAAAGAGAACCTTGAAGCTGAAATTTCATTTTGGAAATCCTGTTAAATATGTTTGAGGTTTAAAACACTTGATGTTATGGAGTAGAATTCCACATTACCATAAGTTATTTATTTTGCCAAAATGATGACTCAAACATTTTAAAACAAGGCAAAAACCTTTACTCGTTAAGAGGGAAGACTTAGCTTTCCAAACATTTTGTCTCCTGTTTTCTCTTTATTTTCCTTGGCAGACTATAGGCAAGCCAAATGGAAATCTTTCATTATCTTTTACTATTACATGAAAATCTTGTATGAAGGAGAGAAAGCCAAATTTTACACTTACATTAGTTTACTATTAATGTCAACCCAATTTTTAAAATGAAACCTTATAGACCATTGCATCCAATCTTGACCAGTTTGACTGTAAGTTAAGATTCTTAGAAACCTTTTAAAATTCTTTACAAATCTTGCTAAAGAGTGTATTAGTGCCTTAAGAAAAAACAAAAAAAAAAACCTTACTGTGCTTTTATTTCAATGCTCAATTTACAGAAAAGCCATAATACTATTTTGAATTTAGTATGTTCACACACA